GAAGTTGAAAGGGGATGATGACTTGTTTGGCATGAAGAAGATGTCTTGTTGGAAGGGGTTTAACGGGTCGACATACTGCTGTGGCATTTGCAAGGAGAGAGGGTGGGTTATTGGAAAGGCATCCAGATTGTTATTGTTGTTGACTAGGTGAAGGAAATGGAGGTCTTCGTCGATGTCCCACTTGGGGGCAGCGCTTTGGACCTCCTTGTCACAAGATGACTGTATTTGCTCCGAGCAGCAGCTTGAGACTGCCGCCCTCTGCCACTTCGGAACCGCCTCGTTCTGAAGCGGCAAAATGGTTCTCGGCTTCTGATCCGGGATTTCGACTTCATTTTGGTCCCTGCTACTTCCGCAATTCGGGTACTTCTCCAGGGTGCCTTTCTTGTTGTATATCCGACACAGCACCCACTCATCCAGCTGCCGATGCACAGAATCAAAATTGGTTTAATTTCATTTACAAACTCTCTCCGTCCTAAAAAAAGTTACTTGTTATTTACGAGGTTTGATTGAAGTTATTTTTAATTTAATTTACTTAAAAATTGATAAAGAATTAAAATAAAATTTGTATTGTATATTTAAAAAACTACATCAAAAGTCTTACAAAACAAAATTGATAAGACTATATTTTTTCAAATGGATTGTGAAAACGAGTCAAGAACTTATGAAAATTTGACCTAGTAAATAGTGAAGAAATAATTTAAATGAGAGTGGGAGTACATATGTACTATATAAGAAGAAGAGAAAAAAAAAAAGACTCACCCTCAAGTTGTTTCTCTTGGCGGCGGCGGAGCGGTCAACGTTTGCCAGCCTGTACTCGTGCATAATCCAATTGGTCTTCAACCCTCTGGGAGCTTTCCCGGCGTAGAAAACTAGAGCCTTTTTTATCCCCAACGTTTTTGGTTTGCCGACGGGCTTGTCGGCTCCGGTAGCCTTCCAGTACCCGGTCCCGGCGGCCCGGTTCGGCCGGGAACCGTTCGGGTACTTGCGGTCCCTCGGGGTGAAGAAGTACCACTCTTTTTCACCGTACAAAGCCATCCCTGCGTTGCAATAAAAAAGATTATACTTTCTCTGATCTCTCTCTCAATAATAAAAATTGAAGAAGTTGAAGGAATGATATAATGAGGTTAATTGGGTACCGGGAAGCTGCCACGGGTCGAACTTGTAGAGATCAAGGTCGGCGATGATGGGCACGCCGAGGGGCAGGGAGGCGCTTTTCCGGCAGAGATAGTGAGCAACCAGCTCCTGGTCTGTCGGGTGGAACCGGAAACCGGGAGGTAACTCCAACTGCGTCTGCAAAACCCCGCCGCCGTTTCCTTTCATCTCTCTGCTTCCAATTTGCTATGCAGGAATTGGTGGATGATGAAGAAGCGAGTCATATAGAGGAGTATTTATAAGCACTGCACACACGTGGAGCAATTCACCGGCCCGGTTCGGGCATGGCTGACCGCCGCCAGTGGAAAGGGCCACGCAGGACGAGTGGGGGCGTTTTTGTGACGGCTTCCGTCACCAATTTGGACGGATTTGTCGGGGGACGAAAAGTGGGATGTGAAAAGGGAAAGGCGCAGTAGTCGGCGTTATTGGCGATGGACGATGGATCTCCTCTGTATCAATTTTTTGTCTGCTGTCGCGTCAAACTGCTTCTTGTCTATTTTGACAGCAATTTTTGGGGTTAAAAAACGGTTTGCTCCCAGACCAGGTGTCCCGTATATTGATTATTCACTATTCACCTTAACACCCCGCATCATGTTTGTGCGTATAAAAATGCTTTGGGTAATGTGTACCTCATTTGTCTCCCACCCCCTCCATTACCACAAAAATAGGCAAGAAACTAAAACAAAATTAAATAAATAAAAATGGGATTAAAATGAGTGGTAGAGAAACGGGTGGAGGACAAATGGGGTACACCAAATGGCATACCCCTAGCATGGCTCTTGTGCGTAATAAGGGCACTGGAAATAGGTATGGAGTCTCGGGGCTTCAAACTTTTTCTCTCTGCTACGTCAGCTTTAACTTACACCAAAAATTCACTGGAAATGGGTTTGAAGCCCCAAGGCTTCAAACCTTCATTTTTTACGTTTTTAAATATACATCTTCTAAATTTAAATTCATAAATTTAAATTAATTTATTATTTAAATTAATCGCAATGAGAATAGTGCATTAAAAAAATTACATTCATAAAAAAATATTACATTCATAAAAAAATACATTCATTAAAAAAATTACATTCATTAAAAAAATGACATTCACAAAAAAAATTAGAGAAATTTACCTAAATAGGACTAAAACATAATGACTTTCCCAATATAGAACCATATGTTTTTATTTCCCAATGTAGGATCTTTGGTCATTATCAAATAGTCATTATTCAACTAAATGTTTAGTGGACATTATTTCTTCCACTAAGTCATTATATATATATATATATACACACACACACACACACATATATATATACATACATATATATATATATATATATATATATATATATATATATATATATATATATATATATATTAATCAAACACGTGCTTAGCTCTATTCCAATCCACCACATGTCCTCTACTAACCTGCCAAAGGGAGTCATTAAACATATACACTCTCTAATGGCAAGATTCTTTTAGGCTGGAAAAAGAGATAAGGCGTACCACTGGAGGAGTTGGGATTATCTTTGCAAACCATTTAAGAATGGGGGGCTCGGTATAAGGCGAATGGACCTTCTACAAACTGCCTTCAACACCAAACTGTGGTGGGAATACAAATATAGTAGTTCCCTTTGGAAAGATTTTCTTGTGGCTAGGTATCCCAAGGAGCTCCAGGGGAGAGTTTATCAACACTATTCCCCTACATGGAAAATCATTGTGGACATGGAATCTAGATGGAGTTACTTAACTGATGACGAACTACAGGAAAAGATGTGCTCCAATGGTTTATTTAAAATCAAGAAGGTCTACGAACTGATACAGAAAGACGGCTCTCACTATTGGTCCTCAGATTATATATGGCAGCCGAAGCAGTCTGGTAAAATCTCTATGTTTCTTTGGAAACTTACTAACCACTGCTTACCGTTTCCTGAAAACCTCAAAAGATTTAATGTTAATCTTCCCTCAATGTGTCCCTTCTGTAAGAATGATATCATCAGTGGCTTCCATACTCTTTTTGAATGCCCATGGAGTAGACATAT